GGACTGAGCTGGGCTGCTGGCCAGCCTGCTAAAAGATGTATTGGCAAGGGGGGGGAAATGCGTGTAGTCTATAGCATTAAGCCATAAGGTTTTGCTTATCGATTAACTGGTTAATCGACTACACTTACATCCTACCCTAGACCATTCAGAGGGATACTGTTGTTTGTTTGCGCCTTGAAGGAAACAACCGGCATAATTTATCACTTTAATTGGTGTTAACAACCACATCAGTTCAAACGCGGCATTAGATTGGTTTAGATTAAAATGAAGACAAGCTTACTGGCAAAAGGAAAAAGGATCCCAGGTGAGTATAAAGAACAGGATTAGAAACCATACAAGCAAATAAAAAGAGAAAAATTATTTCTAGATATTAAGATTTAACCACGCTACAGTCCTGGTTCAAGGTAAGAATCTTTCCAAACCACTTTCCAGCAAGATAGAAGGGTATTTCTCCCCGTAGGTCAGGATCTTCTAAAAAGTCCAAGTTCTCAGTTCCCTTATTGCCTTAGGGGGATGATAATTTGGGGGTTTGTACCTCTCTTTGACAGTCCTGTGAACCTTTGAAATGGAGTCTTCTGAAGGCTTCCACCAAAGTAAAGTTCACTCAAGCTGTGAGGAAGGAGACTGGAGTCTGCCGATGAAGGAGATTCCATGCTGGCTTATTTCCCCATCGGTGTTTGTTAAAATGCAATAAATGGCCACTTGACATGCGATTACCAATTGATTCTGATGACAAATGGCTGGTAGCATTGGTCTGTCCTTTGTTCACCACTCAGAACTGGGGAACTGAATAAAAGCTGGTAGCATTGGTCTGACCTTTGTCTGAGAGAAACTTGTTTATTCAGTTCCCCAGTTCTGAGTGGTGAACAGAGTTTTTAGTTCCACGTTTCCTTCTTACAGGTGTAGTCCTCTGGGCAGTTCCCAGACGTGTCCCATGCTCTAATATTAACAGTCAGTGTCTTTCTGCGATATACTGGTGTTTTACATGCGCCTTCATTAGTGTGCTGGGGTACACCGATCAGGTCAGATGACATGAAACTCACTAACGGATCTCAGCGAGCGCTGGCTCTTGCACTGGAAGGCTGTTTGGATCACACTGGCAAACTGAGATATATGGAGCGCTGCTCTTTGCATCGATATAAATACTCCTAGAAGCATGTGAAATGCCAGTGCAGGCAGCTACATATGTACAATCACACGCAATATGCCAGCTGTGGGTGCTGAACATAACTTGCATCAAACAAAGTTTTTTTTCCTCTGGATATGGCCTTTGATGGCAGAATAGGGAACAAATTGTGTTGCCAAGCTGTATCAGATAAAGGATCAGTGTAGTTCTAGCTCCTCTAACAATAGCCAGTACCAGCTTCTTCCAAAAGAGGAGCCATATATCCCAAACAGGAACTTATGGAGTACCTGAAGAAAGGGATTGCTTCTCATTTTAACCTTATCTAATGCAGCACTGCTTGATCTTGCCGTGGATATGAATGCCTACTCGACTTTTAAACTCTGTTAAACTTTTGATGTCAGTGACGTCATAGAATCCCAGGGCTGGCAGAGATCTCAGGAGTCATCAAATCCAGCCCCCTGCCCAAAGCAGGACCAGCCCAACTAAACCATCCCAGCCAGGGCTTTGACAAGCCAGGTCATAAAAACCTCTAGGGATGGAGATTCCAGCCCCTCCTAGGGAACCCATCCCCCGGCTTCCCCACCCTCCTAGGGAAATAGTTTTTCCTAATCGCCAACCTAGACCTCCCCCACTGTAACTTGAGACCATTGCTCCTAATTCTGCCATCTGCCCCCACTGAGAACAGCCTCTCTCCATCCTCTTTGGAACCCCCATTCAGGTAATTGCAGGCTGCTCTCAAATCCCCCCTCACTCTTCTCTTCTGCAGACCAAACAAGCCCAGATCGCTCAGCCTCTCCTCAGTAAGGGTCCAGCCCCCAATAATTTTTGTTGCCTTCCACTAGATTTTCTCCAATGTGTTCCCATCTGTAACAGGAGGCCAAGTATTAGAGGCAATAGTCCAGATGTGGCCCCACTAGTGCCGAATAAAGGGGAATAATCACTTCTCTAGATCTGCAGGCAATGCTCCTCCTAATGCACCCTAATATGCCATTCGCCTTCTTGGCTACAAGGGCACACTGTTGACTCATATCCAGCTTCTCATCCACTGGAATCCCCAGGTCCTTTTCTGCTGAACTGCTTCTTAAGCCATTTGGTCCCCAGCCTGTAATGGTGCTTGGGATTCTTCTGTCCCCAGTGCAGGACTCTGCACTTGTCCTTGTTGAACCTTATCAGATTTCTTTTGGCCCAATCCTCCAATTAGTCTAGGTCACTCTGGACCCGATCCCTGCCCTCCAATTTATCTACCTCTCCCCCTAGCTCAGTGTCATCTGCAAATGTGTTGAAGGTGCAATCCATCCCCTCAACTAGGTCATTAATAAAGATGTTTAAGAAAAACGCCCCAGTACCAACCCTTGGGGCATTCCGCTTGAGACTGACTGCCAATCAAGACATCACGCTGTTGAGCCCGACAATTTAGCTAGCTTTCTAGCCATCTTCCAGTCCATTTATCCAATCCATACTTCTTTGATCTGCTGGCAAGAATGCTATGGAAAACATAGCAAAAGCTTTGCCAAAGTCAAGGTATATCACACCCATCACCTTCCACATATTGACAGAGCCAGTTACCTTGTCATAAAATGTAATCAGGTTGGTCAGGCATGACTTGCCCTTGGTGAATCCATGTTGACAGTTCCTGATCACTTTCCTCTCTTCCAAGTGCTTCAAAATGCATTCCTTGAGGATCCCCTCCATGATTTTTCTGGGGACTGAGGTACAGCTGACTGGTCTGTAGTTCCCTGGAGTCTCCTCTTTCCTTTTTTTTAAAGATGGCACCACATTTGGCTTTTTCCAATCACCACGAGTTTTCAAAGATAATGGCCAAAGGTTCTGCAATGGCATCTGCCAACTCCCTCGGCACCCTCAGATGCATTAGATCTGGCCCCATGGATTTGTGTGTGTCCAGCTTTTCTAGATAGTTCTTAACCTGTTCTTTCTCCGCTATGAGCTGCCCACCTCCTTCCCATACTGCATTGCCTAGTGCAGTCGTCTGGGAGCTGACCTGGTCTGTGAAGACAGAGGCAAAGAAAGCATTGAGTACTTCAGCTTTTCCCACATCATCTATCACTAGGTTACCTCTCCCATTCAATAAGGTTCCTGCATGTTCCCTGCTCACCTTCTAATCATGCCAATTGAAACCTTTCTTGCTGCCGGTTAGATCCCTTGCTGGCTCCATTGATAGCCCTGTGACAGTTGTGCATCATTAAAAATGTATTTCATAGATTCCAAAGCCAGAAGGGAACGTTGAGTTTATCCAGTCTAATGTACTAGTGATGATAACACAGGCTTTAGAACTTCCCCAGAATAATTCCTAGAGCAGCACTTTGAGAAAAACATCCAAATATGATGTAAAAGTTGTTAGTAATAGAGAATCTAGGTAAATTGTTCCATTGGTTAATTGCCCTTAATGTTTAAAATTTACACCTTATTTCCATTTTGTATTGATCTAGCTTCAGCTTCCTGCCATTGGATTGTTTCCTTCTACAAGTTTTACATTTGTCACCTTTACATAGTCTGTTTGAGCACTTGGCTCCCACAATGCAAGAACAATCTACCTTCCTTGTACCATTCATAGATTTGTAAAGATGTATTCTATCCCCTTTTACTCATCTCTTCTCTAAAGTAAAGAGGGCTGGAAATACACAAGAAGTTAGGCATTGTGATGCTGAAGAGCACCTCACTTTTAAGTGACCCCAAACTCGCTGTGATTCATAAAGCCTGAGATGGCTGGGAAGCAACTCTACCGTAATTCACAAAGGTCGACATGCTAGATGGCGTCCTGCCTTTGCTAGCTGACGGGAGATGCTGAGTAGAAGAGCCTAGGCTAGTCTAGGTGCCTATTCTGGGCTTATGATTCTCATCTGTGAAACCACTTGGAGTTAAGTGCCATTTTCGCACGCTGAAGAGGAGGTGGTGCTGCTTACCGTATACCTGTTAGCCCAGGGGCTAGAGTGCTCAGCTAAAGATGTGGGGAATGCAGTTTCAATTGCCTCATCTTTGCCCAAAGGGAAAGATTTTAACAGGGGGTCTCCAACTCTTCAAGCAAATGCTGCAATGTTCTGCTGGGGAACTGTTAAAGAGCTGGACTGGACTAAGGTCTCCCACCTGCCAGCCAGGTCGGGACTAACCAAAGAACTACAAAGTTGTTCTCACCCACTTTCCCTTTCACTATATTGAAAAATGGATCAACTTCCAAACGGGGTGGGTAAATGCTAGATGAGTTGGATGAGGAGACACACGAAGGCTGTCTCTAGACTGCATCCCTTTTCCGTAAAAGGGATGCAAATTAGACATATCGCAATTGCAAATGAAGCAGGGATTTAAATCCCTCCCGCTTCATTAGCATAAAAATGGCTGCCACTTTTTTCTGGATCGGAGATTTGCCGGAAAAAAGCGCCAGTCTAGACACGGATCTTTCGGAAAAGGCTTTTAAAAGGGATAAGGGATCTTTCGGAAAAGGCTTTATTTTCCGAAAGATCCGCGTCTAGACTGGCGCTTTTTTCCGGCAAAGCTCCAAGCTGGAAAAAAGCGGCAGCCATTTTTATGCTAATGAAGTGGGGGGATTTAAATCCCTGCTTCATTTGCAATTGCGATATGTCTAATTTGCATCCCTTTTACAAAAAAGGGATGCAGTCTAGACACAGCCAAGGAGTTTATGGCTGATGCTAAGCTAAGGCCGCCATATCCTGACCTACCTACTTCTCAGACTATGCTACAAAGAACAGCATTCTGTTACTGAAAAGACCAAACTGATCTCTTTGTGAGGGCACCCATTATAATTGATACCATGTTGTACACTTTGCATGCTGCACTAGGCACTACCACTGCCCACTCTTCTAGCACAGCATAAATCCGATGTTTTTTCTCATCTTTGCAGCGATTCAGCATGGAAGGAATCTCTAACATCTTGCAGACTGGTATTCGGCAGACATTTGGAAACTCAGCTACTGATAAACAGGTATGTGCAAATCTTCTCCATAAATCAGGTAACTCACAACAGTGGACGTGTGTCATTTCTCCTAAAAAAAAAAAAAAATTGAAGAAGCAAGCTAGGTTTTGAACAGATTTGGCTGATATTAAACCAATTGATTTATAAACATTTTTGCAACCCAAAAATGCTGAATTTGGATTTTGGTGACATTGGGGTACATGGTTTTTATTTTTCATAAGTATCCAGGCCCTGCTGGGTGTTTCAGAAAGCGTGTGCAAATCCTAAAATGTTCAGATAATTCATGAATGAGCACTCATCGGAAAAGTCATGTCAAAGTTGGTGATTCATTTTTTGCTAGGCATTAGTCATTCTTCTTTTTAAAATGTTTCACTCATCCATTTAGAAAGCAGAAACAATACTATGTCGTTTACATGACCAACCCACAAAACAAAGGGCAAATAGTTGAAACTCTTGAGATTAGTCAGTATAGTCAGTAGTCTGAAAAGAATTAATCCAGAGGATCTGGTGAGTGCTGAGGAATAACGACCCTTTCCAAAGAAGGGTTCAGAAACGAAAAAGGGAGCAAACCCAGAGCCGATATGATCTGTAGGGGGAAGCTCAGGTCTTGCTTCCGTTTGCCGGGCTTCTTGGTTTTTTGCATTGCATTCCTGTCTCCCTCCAGTGCTTCCTGAACTGGCTTAAACTGGCAATGCCCCCTTGGGAGCTCATTTTTAGTTATGAAATAATCTAAACCATAGGGAACGATAGCCGTTCCTCTTTCCTAAACCTGTGACTTCTTCAAGAGCAGCGCTTTGTGCCAGTCATCACAATGTGTCTCCTTCCAGCCGCCAGAGGAGTGAGTTAGCCAGAGAAATCAGTACAGCTTTAGGCTGCTTTAAGTTTTCGGTGGCTCTCTTTTGGGATCCCAGGGCCTCCAGGCTGGTTATAGGCGTTGAAGGTCCCTGGTTACGTATCTAGGATGGATCTATGCTGCCTTGGGAGGGTTTCACAAGGGTTAGATCCCCAGTGAAAGGACACAAGACTTCCCTGCAGATGGTCCTGCTCATGCTGCTCGTCCATATGGTACCCACTGGATCGGCCACATTTCAGGATGTGCTTATTGGCCTCTACCCTGGAGTGCCATGCTCCCATTCCCTCCAAGGGCATGCCATGGGGTACTTTCTGAAAAATCATCCTTGTGGAAGTTCCTTCATAAAACATTCCCTCCTGCCCCTTTCCACACTCGAGGAGACAAACTGTCCCAGAGTTGGACCCCAAAAGAAGTGTGATTCCACGAGACCCGCTTCTTCACTGTGCACCCTTCGCCCTGCATAGAGAAGGAGGCAGGCAGGAGGCAGCCCCAAGAGTGCACAATCAGCTGATTAATGACTGTCATTAAGATGCATGCACACAAGGGGCGGGTTAGGATTCTGGCCTGGCCTGCCGAGGGAGTATCACTGCTGGGGGGCGGGGGGAGATACCATTGCTTTTCTAAATTAATGTCCTAGATGGTTAAAAGAAGACTTGCTTAAAACACAAATCCCACGATGTGGAAATATTTGCTAAAGAAAAGGGGGCTGCTACGTAGGATGAAATTAACTTGGCCGACTGGTTGCCCCTCCCAGCCCTCTCTCCATGTAAATCAACAAAATGGAGGGCTAGCTGGGAAGAACACAGCTGTTCTTAGTCTGGCTCGCTGGAGGGTCAATGAGTGAGTTTCACTCCTCGTGTTGAAGGAGATACATTTTTAATAACCGTTTTGGGCTATGGAATGGGGTTATGAGTACTGTTGGGTGAAAAACACAGCCCATGCCACTCAGTCAATTTATTTTTGTGTTTTTAAAACTCTGTGCCTTAGGAGTTTCACCTTAAGTCAGAATCACGAGTCACGACCTGGATCCTCCTTGCTCCAGCATAGAAGTCGTATGTGCCAGCCTTTTACTTGCTACAAATTACTTGCCCCTACATGCCCTATGGTTGTTGGTATGTCACACACCCCTGGGAGCCGAGTCCCCTATGAGAGCGTGTGAGTCGTTACAGCCTCTACATACAGAGTGTTGGTTCTTCAGCTCGAGAACTGTAGCGCTCGTGTGTCCCGGGAGGTGGTTCCCAATTCAGTCCTCAGTGTGTCCGCCATCACATCAGCTCCGCTATCCAGCCACTCCGTGGCCCCTTGCATGAGCAAGGCAGGAGAATGCCCACAGGAGGCTGCTGGTCCCCAAGCTCTGTACAACACGGCCTGGTTCCCCTGTGGAACTTGGGGTTCCCTTGGGGTTTCCCCTGTGGGGTTCCCTTTCTGCTACAAGGCTGCCCCAACTAGGGCTTCCCCTCTGCACAGGGCTGAGCAGCCCTGGAGAAGCATAAAAGCAGCTTTGTGGAGATTCCTAGTTTGGTTTCAGGGCTTGGGATCCGGCTCAGGAGGGGAGGTGGGGGAAGCGGGAAAGCAAAGGAGAGAAATGAAGGGAAAGCTGGAGAGAAGCAGGTTTCTCCACAGCCCATCTCGGGAGGCCAGCCGCCCGTTCGCTACAATCGCAATTCACAAAGATTATTATGGGGAGACTTGACCCCCAGCGTTAGATGTGGAAATAAACAAGGGAGCTGAAAGTGCAACTGGGCCGGAAACCTCAGTGAAAACTGGTCAGGCTCAAAGGAATCTGAGCCGCAGAGCACTAGAAAACCGTAAACCACTCAGCCAATAATACGTTCTCTCATAATAAACGACTGCATAGCCCAGTCTGTTCTCTGCAGTCACTTGTGCTGAAATTCAGCCCTGGGACGGGGACCAGCCCGAGGCAGAGACATCACCTAAATTCTCACCCCCTGAGCAGGGCCCAGCAAGAGGCCCAAGCTCTAGCTAACTGTGCAGTAGGGATGATGAAATTAATGGACGGGATTTCCATCGACTATTCGATTAGTCGATAAGGGCACTTCCGTTTTGAAATGGGGCAAGAGCCCACGAGGCCAAATGGCGTCCCCTGCGGGACTCTTGTACATTTCAAAGGTGGGACACTGCTGCTGCACTCCTACCCCCACCCATGGAGCTGGCGGGAATTGGCTTTTAACCCGGCTCCCCCCAGCACCCTCTCTTCTCCCCCCCCCTTACTGATAGAAGCAGCAAGTGGGGGGAAGCGACTTGTCGACTAGTGTGTTGACTGTCCGATAAGCTTTGGCTTATGGGATAGGTGACTAGTCGCTTGCATCCCTACTATGTAGGACCTGGCATAAGACAAAGACCCCTAGCCCCTGGGGCCAACTTTGAGGCCCAGGCCCCACAACTCCATAGCCTGCAGGGGCTGGTCTAAAGTCTAGGCCTAAATCCATATCCCCTTGGCTGGATCTCTCCAACGGCCTCCCCAGACACCTCATCCTTCTCCAGGGACCAGCATGGCACCACTCAAGTCCCACCGAGGGCCTCAAAATGAAGTGGCAGGGCAGTGGGGCACACACCTAGTGTCAGCCCCGACTAGGGCCGGGTCTCACCTGAAGACAGTAAGACTCAGTCAGCCGCTCGCAAGCGGCTCTTTAATGCCTCTCCTGCGGCACATGATATTAAACTGCCATGTGATTGAATTATTAACCAGTCGGGATAACTCTTAAGTGAATAACTTAGTGCAGGTTGAGAATGAATTGGTTAATAACAATTTGCAGTGCGACGAACACGAGCACAGGGTATTTCCCTGCCACACTGCGTACACCGGAATATCACTGTAGTGGGTGAAACCGCGAGCTCACATTGTCGTGTGTCTTTTGGGCCATGCTGGTTGCTAGTTTGGCTGATCACTGCCGTAAGCAAAGCTCAGCTTTGGGGCTGAAATGTCCCAGCCCAGGCTTTGCCAAGTGCTTGTTTTAGATGGAAAACCTGCAGTTTCTTTGTTGTGCCAGCCATCCGGCTGACAGATTTGAAGAGGGGCTGCTGACATGTGGCATCACGGCCTCCGCCGCCCTTGGCTGCTTGGTGGAAATGGCTTTTCTATTCTGCTTCTTTGAAAATCGAGTCTCTGTGGAGTAGATTATCCCCAGGCCAGCCAGGGTGCGTGAGTGACTTTCATTGCATCCGACAGAGGAAGTTCAGACCTTGCCGTAGACGCTACACGCTACATGAACTCACTGAGCCGTTGCCGTAGCAGCTGTACGGACGTCAGGTGCCCTGAGATGGCCCAGAAAGGCATTTATTTGCTGCGGATGCTAGTAGGTCCATAGCAGGAGAGTTCCTCTCTTGCACGCTCTTGTGACAGGTTGGATCACAGAGGCCCTCTTGGGGTTGGCCCCTGGTGTGCCCATCAAGACAATGGTGCCTGCTTTCCCGGCCACTAGGATGCCCCACCACCCTGTCCAGCTGGGCCAGAAGCTCTGTCTTTCCCTCAAGGCACAGAGTTGGGGTAGAATCATAGAATTCCAGGGCTGGAAGAGAACTCAGGAGTCATTGAGTCCAGCCGTCTGCCCCAAGCAGGAACAACCCAACTAAATCAACCCAGCCAGGGCTTTGTCAAGCTGAGACTTAAAAACCTCTAGGGATCACACCCCTCCTCCAGCAGAGCAACACAGATGCTGAACCAGTTGAGCTCTGGGAGGATCGGCTGTAAGGACTCAGTACCCAGAACACAGCTCCCAAAGAGGACCAACCCCCCAAGGAAATCTGTCTTACTCTGTGTACAAGTTTTACACGGAGAAGGGTCATAAAGGTGTTTGCCCCCTTTATCACTGGGTTTGATAATAAACAAAAGAGTTTTTATTAAGTATACCAGGGGTGGCCAACCCATTAAACGAAGAGAGCCGAAACAGCGGTGGAAAAAATGCGAAGAACGGCACCAGAATTGTTGAACAAAAAAAAAGGAAGAGCTCCCCACCAGTCAGAGATGTTGAGGGGAAAAAAAAAAAGAGACGCTGCCCCTTTAAAAACCACGGGTTAGGCTTTTTGGCCACATCAGGTTCCCACCGGCCAACGCATCTTGCCAATGCCATTTTGCCATGCTGGACGGCTCCCCTGCACCTGGTGAGCACAGGGAGCCGGGGACCATTTGTGGGGGCACATGGGGCGGCTTCGCGAGCCACGCTTTCAGGGGTGAAGAGCTGCATGCGGCTCTGTGACGGACCAGGCCGTGTCCAGGCACAGCTGAGGGCGTCCGCTCAGGGCGAATTGCTCAAATCCGGGGCTCCTTACAGCCCCCATATTGGTGACTTCTCCAAACAGGCCACAAACCAGTCCCACAGAGCGCTTCAGCAGCCTGCCTGAAGCCTCACAAGCAAAACCCCTCCGACGCCCCAGCAATATCTGTGCCCCAGATGGCCTCGGGCCTATACACAGGTGGGGGGTCCTAGCCCCCAATCCCACCTACCCCGAACAAGTTCTGTCCGGTTCCAAGAAACCAGCCACAGATCCCTGGTCAATTTACCCTCTGGATCTTACCTACAAATCACGCTGGGCCAGTCCTTTAGAATCTATATCTAAAGGTTTATTATCACAAGAAAGAGAAGCATGAGAGTAAGGTTGTTAAAGAATAGTACGTTACATGCATTGAATCTCCCAGTCCTCGATGCAGGCTCTAGCAGAGATGTTACAGCTGCTGGTTTAAAAGTTCTTGTTGCACATTCTAGCATCAGGATGAGTTCACAGGTCTTTCTGGCTCTTCGATCCCTGCAATGCTGCCTCTGGGATGAAGTGCTGAGCTGAGAACAAAATGGCATCGACCACATGGCCTCTTTATACCCCCTTCCTGGCCTCTTCTTGTCTGCAGCAAGTCACCTGGTCAGAGGCCAATCTCTATATTTCCTGCTGGCTGCCCTCAGGTGACAAATCCCATTCTTTGGGTGTGTCCATAGCCTATTGAGAGCCATTGTTCCACAGGGCTTTGCTACTCAGCCTGTCCATATCTCTGCTGGCTGCTCTTAGGTCTCCGCCGTCATGCTTTAGGTGTGTCCTTGGCCCATCAAGTGCCATTGTCCCACAGGGCCTCGCTAATCAGCCTGTCCATAGCAATGCTCAACCACATTCAGAGAAATATTCAGCTTTCACACAGATTACAGATTCCTACCTACACACACAGACATTATACACTCACATAAATAGTGTACACAGGATCAGCAAACAATAAGCTCCCATTCAATACCCCACATGGCCCCCTTTTATACCACTGTTGGGGCCAGCACCCCCACCTATGGGTGCAGCCATGATCTGGCTGCTTCCCTCAAATTCCAGTAACGTGACAGGCTCATGAGCCACGGGTAGACCACCCCTGAAGTATAACAAGTAGGATTTAAGTGATTGCAAGTGAAAACTGACAGATCGCACTAAGTTACTAAGCCAAGATAAACACTGCAGGCCAGCTAATTCCAATGCACTAATACACGTGCGCCTGGTCTACACTACGTGGAAAGGTTGATGTGAGACACGCAGCTGTAGCGCAAGGGTGAGCAGCTTCAGTAAGAGGCTGGGTGGAGTCAGAGCACTCTTTCAGGGCTCGCCAGTACGGATGTAAGCGACTGGCCGACTCTCCGATAGGCGAATGCTTATCAGATAGTCAACTAGTGACTCGACTAGTCACTCACCGCCCCCAGCTGCCTCTGTCGGAGAGAGGCAGCAAGGGGGTGGAGCAGGAGCCAGTGCTGGGGGGAGCCAGCTTAAAAGCCAGTTACCCACTGCACTGTTTCGGGGGGGGGGGCACAGCAGGGAACTGGTGGTGCTTCTGCCTTTGAAATGTAGCGAGAGCGGGGCTCTTACATTTCAAAAGCAGGGAGCGCGGGGTCAGTGGGGAATTGCCCAAGTCCCCCGCTGGCCCTGTGCTCCCCACAGCGCTGCCGCCTTTGAAATGTAGCAAAAGCTGGCAGTGCTTTTGCTACAATTCAAAGGCAGATGTGCCCTTATCGACTAATTGAATAGTCAATGCAATTTGCATCGATTATTCAATTAGTTGATTCATCCAAATTTAACATCCTTATTCCCAAGAGGCATTGTGTTTCCTCCAAGACAGTGGGTAGAGTCCAGCCCCTGCTTGCCTCTGGCATGCCTCACGCAATTCTGTCCTCGTCACTCTTTGGCACCATTTGCATTGCTTGTCGTGTCAATATACAATAGCATCAAATTGAACGTGATTTTCTCCTTGCACTAGCAGCTGTACTTATGAGAGTTTTTGTTTGATTTCTTTTCTTTCACCTCTCAAGCAATTTGGTTTCATGCTTCCATCCCATTAGCTTGCCCTGCAAGGGGCAGAGAATAACGGTATATGATATTCCTTTCTAGTATTTGAACACGGTTATTCCGTACGAGAAGAAAGGGTCCCCTCCCTCTGTTGAAGATCTGCAGATGCTGACAAACAGTAAGTCCCTGGGTTTTCCATACATATTTGCCATTTAAGGGTATCATTTTAGGGTCTCCCAGTGGCAGGGCCTTGGGGGTGGAGTATAACTGGTGAAATTCAGAGGGACATGTGGACCTCCTATTATTTTATTCACTCCTGAGCTTGGTTGTGCCCTGAACACCCAATTCCTGGCATCAGTAGGACTGACGCTCTGTTGAAGAAGTTTATACATTTCATGGCAATCATGGGCACTGAGTTTCATTTGCAGGCTCCTATGTTCAGCATGGAGCTGAATGAGACATGAGCCGAACAGGCAAGAAAGGCTGGGCTCTTTCAGGACACCTCAGGGGGCGGGGATGGAGAGGTTTCAAATTACCACAAACAAATGCCATTCTTCGTCCTTATTTTTCTGATTTCAAATTTCTACACTTTTTTTTGCTGGCAATTTCCAGTTTTTTATACTGGAGCACGAGCAAGAACATTTTGTAGGTTAAAGGGCATTTCACAAATATCTAAAGTCTATTTATTGTTTAATGAATTTATCCTCTAACTCTAACTCAGAACAGAAAATAAAAGGCTGATCTGTTGTGACAAGCCTGGTGCAATCTGGGAAACTCCTCAGGCTCCCTCTGTGTCTCCATGGAAACTGTGTTTTGGATTAAATGAAGCAAACACTGGCTCTTCTGAAAGGAATGAAGTTCTATGAATGGCTGTTTTGTACAGATTCTATACAATAGAGACAGTTTGTGAGCAGTGTCAAACACTGCTCGTCTCCAGTGCAAAACATTTTCCAGAAAGGTTACCAAGGATAAATCTATTCTGCATAATTAGCGTGTAAAGTTGCATCTGGCTGTGATGCAAATATGTTATACTTCAGAAATTATTTTTATCGAGCTAGAAGAAATCTCAGTGTTTTCTGAACAACAACCAGCTCTGCATTCCTAATCCCCTGAATTAAGGGCTTTTTTATTCTGTTCACTACGAATTCTAAGTTGTCCTACCCACATCATCAGCTACACTGAGCGCCTTCTAGCGGCGCATTAAGCAACATGATCAATACTTGTCACGTGTGTTTCCTCCCGCATAGGATGCCAAGTGAACAGAAAGATTAACAAGAGTCACTGGAAGATGAAATTTGAACACATGAAGTGAAAACAGGACGTGAAACATACGGAAAACAAAAGTGCATCTGACTGCTCTGTAATGAAGTAATTCGGTGTCTTTCCATCCAAGGAATTTCTAGGGTTTACAAACACTGAATGAAACCTCTGGGTTGGGAAGTAGTATGATCAGGGCTCGACAAATAATACAATCTATTCACCCGTGGGCGAGTAGATTGTAACCTGGAAGAGCCGGGTTCGGGCGATCTGCGCAGAATGATCTACACATGCGCAGATTGCTGGACAGCGCGGCTGGCGAGCGGGGCTTTCCGCGGTTCGGCGAGCCCTGATTATGATCCAAACTTTACAGATGGCCACAGGGATGTCACATGACTTGTCCAAGGTCACACAGTAGGTCAGTGTGAAAACCCAAGTCTTTAGGTATCTAGTCATCACCAGTTTTCTTGGTGAAAACTGAAACAAAGAAATCATTAAGCGCCTTTGCCATTGCTAAGTTTCCTGTTATTGTTTCTCCATCCTTGTGGAGCAATGGGCCTACCCTGTCGTTGGTCTTCCTCTTGCTTCTAATATATTTGTAGACTGTCTTCTTGTTACCCTTTATGTCTCTAACTAGACTGAGCTTGTTTTGTGCCTTCGCCTTTCTAATTTTATCCTTGCACACTTGTGTTGTTTATGTTCATCCTTTGTACTTTGACCTAGTTTCCACTTTTTGATTTTTAGATAATTGAAGATCTCCTGGTTAAGCCATGGTGGTGTCTTACCGCATTTCCAATCTTTCCTACACAGTGGAATAGTTTGATCTTTGGCCTTTAATAATGTGCTTTTGAAAAACTGCCAGCTACAGTTGATTTTCCTCTTAGTCTTGCTTCCCATGGGACCTTACCTTCCAGCTCTCTGCATTTACTGAAGTCTGCCTTCCTGAAATCCATTGTTTCTATTTTCGCCATTCCTTAGAATCATGAACGCTATGATTTCATCATCACTTTCACCCATGCTGCTTTCCACTTTCAAATTCTCAAGCAATTCCTCCCTATTTGTTAAAATCAAATCTAGAACAGCTTCCCCCAGTAGCTTTCTCAGCCTTCTGAAATAAAAAATAGTCTCCAATGCAGTCCAAGAATTTGTTGGATAATTCAATAATACCGAATCGGCCAATTGCAGGACTTCTCTTTTGGCCTCCCATGGCACCAGGAGCTGGTTGCAGATCTCCCCTGTGTTTGGGTCTAGCCCAGCTCAATAGAGAAGGTCTTTCCTGAACTCCCAATGAGAAAATTGAAAGTCCTGAGCCTCCAGGATAACTGTCCTGTCAATTCTAGCCCACCTGGAGGACTTCTCCTCTGCTCTTTTCCTGGGGTGGGGTGTGGCAAGGCCATAAACATCCTGCGGGGTCTCTGGGGCGTAGTCCACCTCCCCCTCCCCCACACTCCCCCCAGAACCTTTCCTTTGTGTCCCTCATTAAACACTGATAGGGGTCTCTGGGGTGTAGTCCACCTCCCCCTCCACCAGACTCCCCCCACTCCTTTGTGTCCCTCATTAAACACTGATACATGATGCTGTTAACTATTTGCTCACTGATTGTTTAGAGGTCCACAAACATAGCAGCGATGGCACTGACTTTCACCTGTGACCTTGTGGCAGGGATGGGATTTGCAACCAAAATGAGATCCAGGTGTCGCAGATGTGGGGAATAGCACTGACTTTCACCTGCGACCTTGTGGCAGAGATGGGATTTGCAACCAAAATGAGATCCAGGTGTCGCAGATGTGGGGGAAATCTCGTTCCCCTGGGGTACGGAGCCCCCAGAAGGGTCCGAGGCCGGAGGTCAAATCAGTGAGGCAGGAGAGAAATCTAGAAAGGAAAACTTTATTATGCATGCATGCAGGCTGACAGCAGAGCCATCGCAGCCAGCCCTGAGTTACAGGTTTTTGGATCCTTTATACAGAATGCTTAGACAGTTCAGTTGTGGATTGTTTTTCTTTAACATATCAAAGTCTCAGCAGAAGTACTCTGAGACTTCTGTTCACCCCAGGAGTGCTAGAAGTAAGTTTTACAAAACAAAGGCACATGAGAATGTGGAGTGAGTGGTCTTACAAGGCAAACTGTGACAAAGATAAGAGTATACATGATAATTTGTGACAGACTAGGAGTATCCATGAATTTGAGAGAGGCATTTGTAAGGGTCTTTGATTAGAGTTAATTTGATTTCACTCTGATACAGGGAGAGAGGTCTGGAAAACTTAACCCTTACAGCAATTTTCTTTTAGAGAGTTTTGATTTCTGCACAGTCCCCCCCCTTAGACACAATTGGAGTTATTTGATTTTCCCCACACAGACCACAAAAGCCAAGACCATTATGAGCCACACCCTCAGAGTGAGGGAGGGACCGAGGTTAGGGATCATAGAATCATAGAATACTAGAAGGTACCTAGAGAGGTCATCGAGTCCAGTCCGATAAAACAAGCCTCCTAAATAAAAGGGTCTTTCAACTGGCTTTTTTACAAACATGAGACATTCCTTCTCTTGCACCAAATGAGACATGTTTCTCCTATTGTCCTTAATCACAGTATCACTTTCTCAGTTTAAGATGGCAATTCTGTGAATAAGTAAATAGATGTACTTACTATTGCAAGAACAAATTTTCATTTCCAGATAACACCACAAAAGCCAAGACCATTATGAGCCACACCCTGAGAGTGAGGGAGGGACCGAGGTTAGGGATCATAGAATCATAGAATACTAGAAGGTACCTAGAGAGGTCATCGAGTCCAGTCCCCTGCCCTCATGGTAGGACCAAATACTGTCTAGACCATCCCTGACAGACATTTATCTAACCTGCTCTTAAATATCTCCAGAGATGGGGATTCCACAACCTCCCTGGGCAATTTATTCCAGTGTTTGACTACCCTGACAGTTAGGAACTTTTTCCTAATGTCCAACCTAAACCTCCCTTGCTGCAGTTTAAGCCCATTG